GGGGGGGGGGGCGTACTCATTTGTTGCTTGCCGTAATCATTTGACCATTGACCACGCGTCCCTTTCGAGACGGAGCACCGTTCCTACACCTACTAAAGACACCACCAACATTTGGGAGCTCTTTACGTTTCTGCCACAAACTCCATAAAAATTTCTTGCACATCTTATCCCCGTCCTCTAGGGCCTCTTGTGCCCACCATCTATCCCCAATTATCGCGATCGTTTTTTCGCTGTTGTCTAATTTACCAAACTTGTCCAGGGGGGGGGGGGCAACCCCGGGGAAGGGGATGAAAATCGGGAGGCAAAAACGATTGACGGCATCTCGGTCAAATTAATGAAAACTTTGGAACAAGTTGCCGTGCGAATTCTTCGCGCGACTTACAAGTCAGTTTTGACCCGTTTCTTGACCTCCGTCCCCTATCTTCCCCTCTTGAGGAGATCAAGGCAGTTGCACACAACTTGTGAATAAATTGGAAGGAAATGGTGCGGGCCTTCAAACATGAGCTGCGGGACGCTTTTTCAGGAAATTGGAAAATACAGTGCTGAAACATTTGGTTTGGACACAGCATCACCAGCAACTTTCGACTACGTTATTTTGTCGTTCGCGGCAGCGAAAACGATCTCACTCGCCTCTCCGTGCACATTTTTAGTTTTCTGCGTCATAATGTGCTCTACATTGCACTTAGCCGCGTTGTTTCAATACTAGTCGTTTTATGTGGAGCTTGTGTCACATCAAAACTGACGCTGTCCGGTTCTACAGAGGCGTGACACGTACCAGGCTGGAAAAGGAGGCTTGCACAACAAGCGATGCGACTTTTCATGGTGGACGAAACGACCGGCCAGTGTATTTGCGTGCCACAATACTCGTGCGCTCCGCAAACGGCCCCAGCAACTCACTGGTCGACGCCTCTGAACTCAAGGTTTCCCTGCAAGAGGCCCAACCCTTCCGCCTGCCCGAACACTCTCGACACGAGCGGCTTGATTTCTGACATCTTCACCGAGTCCAGGGTGTCTCGGATTTCCTGCACCGTGTACCTGACAGGTTCGGGGGGGGGGGGGGGGTGACGCGAACGGGGTGATTGTGCCATGATTTGGCGGTCGACAGTAATACACGGAACCCCCGGGGGAGAGTGAGAGCTGGTGAGCGACGGGACCCCCTCTCGAAGGCGTTGTCGTCTGTCTCTCGCTCTAATTGGTCCCTCCAGTTGAGTCACGCAGGGAACAAGCAAAGCGATTCTTTGTACTGCGTGCCACCCGTCGCTCCCCAAAAGTCACGCTGCGGCGGGACTGCTGTACACTCGCCTCCCGGGCGCGCTTGCAACTTCAACTCCAAGTCAACCCGTATACACGCAATACCCTTTACCTGAAGCAACCATGTGTGGAGATGAACTTTGACAAAGGGGTCACAACTCCTCAACGATGATTGTTCCCTCTTTTTCGCACTTGTGCATGGTTTGTTTGAGGCATCCTTTTCGTTCGTGAAACGAACGTCAATGTCGCGGTTCCCAAGGTCGTCATGGTGTCAACACGGGTCGCCCCCCGTGCCCTGACAGGTACCCCCGCATGCTTTGGGCGGTCAATGTCGGGATTTCCACCCCCTCCCTCTACGTAGTATAAGTATGTTGATAACGCCAACAACAGCATGGAGAGAGGAGATGAGATGAGATGACGGTTTCTCACCGGGGGTCCTCCGAAGCAACTGCCGCGTTGGACATGGCGTGCTGGTAGGGCTGCTGCGTGTCGTAGCTGGTCAAGTCCCTGCGAACCTGGTCGTTAAAGAACGGGAAGAAGGCGTCGAAGTGTACCTACCCCAGTGATGCTGCTGTTTCAGAAGGCGCCCGCTCTTGACAAATAATTCGTACTTTGTGCCGAGGGTCGGTATATATTCTGTCTGCGGCATAAACCACCAAAAGACCGATCCGAACCTCGATTCACCCCTTAGTCCTTGACCGTCAACCACAACAGCAATCATAACCCAAATCCATGCACTGGCAATGTAAACCGCAAGTTCTACCCTGTTGTAATAACAATGAACTTGGAGCTCGACTAACAATATAAACCGGAAATCCTACGGCTATGTATCGCATTAACTATTTTAACTTTGAGGTCGTCCTTTATCCCTCCCCAACATGAGACGTTAGGCTATGAACGCATGCCTCACCACGTCTCGCAGGCGCTCGAACTCCACGGGGTCGCTGGGGGTATAGGTCGCGACCGCCTGGGCTACCTTCTCGATGAAGTCGGGCATCTTGTCCGAGAACCCCGCGAAGGACATTCGAAGTCCCCTGGTCGTGAAGTCCAGGCTGTACCCTAGACCCGCCATCTGCAATGAGTAAACGCATGGTACATGTTACCACGTTCGCGATAGTGTGACGCCAAATCATTTCCTGAGGTCCTTCCATGTATCTGTGCATGCCTACAAGAGAAAAGAGACATGATGTGTCATACAGGAGAGGCGTGGTGTGTGTGTTGCCAGTAGGACAATTCGAGCCGTTTCCGCGGCAGAATATAATATTATAGTACGAAATGATATCGGGAAAAATACAGCAGGAATTCTAGCCCTAAAATATGCTATTCGCAACCTCCAGGTTGTGTACCCGAAACCCGCCAACTTCAGATCGCGAAATAATTGTGACCCAATTAAAACAAACGAAGAGACATTCGATCCCGGAGTGGAAAATAGGCAAGAAGGGGGTTTGTAAGGCGGGAAACCAACAACATGCTGGCGAGATTTACTCTTTTCTCCGGGCGCTCATTAATACTTTTTTTGTACTTTCGGCCGTCGGTAACCCTGCGGAGGAAAGAAGTGAAAACGCTGGTTTCGCGTGGCCATTGCCCCAAACCCCACAAACCAAAACATGTGCGAATGACACTCAGGGAGAAAAAACAACGTTTGGAAAACTCGCAACAAAACCAACCACGGAAATTAATCTGTGATGTGAATGCCGTAACGAAAACTTACCACGGTGAGACGGGGCGTATAGTACCGAATATTAAACACCGCTGCAACAAAATGATACATAAGTCCAAGGGCGAAGGAAAAACAAATTGCGGCGAGGCTTTTCTCAAACACACCACCGACACATGAGCATAAAAAGCTTCACATAATGACGTGATATGTAGCCCGACAATTTCCAACACAAGATACCTGGGCGTCGTAGGCGTACTCGTTGAGCCTCTCGTCGAGGGATAGCTCGAAGAGTTTCAGGGCGGCTACGGCCCTTGGACTCTCATAGGCCACCGGGCTCACGACCTCCAGGTTGCACACCACCTTCGGCTGTGCGAAGATGTCGTCGAGCTTGTGCCTCACCTAAACAGGGGCCGAGCACGGTATAATGAAAGCAGAATCGTGAAAAACAACGGGGGCAATGTGCTGGTCAGGGCGAGCTGCCTATCGGGAGATGAGGAACGGGCGGCATGGTGCACAAAGTCAACGCACGTGGGGTCGAGAAAAGTCGTGGATTGAAGACATGTGGCAAACCAGACAAATGGGCCAGGTGTGTAGGTTACCTCTGTCTGTACACTTGCAGGGTTTGTGGCAGGTGGTGCTCGGTTTGACGAGTGCATAATTTCCCGGCGACAACCTACGTACACTGAGACTGCCTCCTTTGTCTTCTTTAAAGGAAAAGCACACCGCGGCTCTATGTGGAGAGCATGTGGACGGGAAAGGACTCGCGTGCAAGCCACGCTACCTCGTTCACGTGTCCACACCTCGCGCCCCTTCAACTGCGACACCTCAACATCATCAACAGCAACAACAGCAACACCGGCG